TTTCTCTGAAGGACATCCTTATTGATATGATAATCATGAATAGGAAAACGTGTGCATGTGTTTGTCTAAAATAAAGATAATGTTTTATGCGCAATACGCGAAATAACAAAATTATTGAACAAAGACTCTTCGTCAAAGATACGCGACATGAAGAATACTTGAAATACTACTGTCATTTTGATTTAATGTATTAGACTGATTATTAAAGATATCGGTGGTTCCATCTATCATCATATTCATTATATTTAAGTTTCTGGGTGGCAGCTGTTGATTTTGTTGGTGGTTTTGAAGCTGTTGATTTTGTTGGTTGTTTTGAAGCTGTTGATTTTGTTGTTGGTTTTGCAGCTGTTGATTCTGTAATTGTTGTTGTTGCCTGGAGGCTAAAGGCGTTCTTTGTAGATGAGTTTGTGGATGATTAATGTGATTCATGGTTTTATAAAAAAATTCTGAATTATCAAAATTAATATTAAAAAGTTTAATTGATGGTTTGATAATTGCGCTGTCAATGAATTCGCGGTCTTTCTTTTAAAATTAAAATACTAATTTTTATAAATAAACTACAGTTAAGGTGTAAAAAAAGAGGTTTGTGACCTAATAATATGATAACACCAGTAAAATGAAAGTATCAAACCGACTATGAAATATAATTAGGCATTTGCAAGTTAATATTTAACTTTCCAACTTCCACAATATCAACAATTCTTCAAGCTTATAAATATATATGTCTCGAGATTTATAATATAAATTAAAGTTATTACTAATGTATAAATATATGCTATAATTTAAAATGAATTAATTCAAGTAAAAATTTATCCAACAAAAGTGCAATCGTCCGGAAAAACAATTATTAGTCTATCGTTATTTTTTGTTGCAGATTAAAATTTCTTTGTCGTTGTAAAAAAAATCGGTTCGATTCGACAAAAATAGTGATAATGTCTATTCTCTTGTTATACTATAACGAGCTCTTTTTTTATAATGCGCCATTTGACGCGAAATCATGTGTATCAATAGAGATGCAAATAATCGAACAACAAACTGTTTATAGCTGGTTCCGAAAATAGTCGAATTCGTATAGCAATCGTCCGTTATATCGACTTCACTGTGTATCAACATTTCTCGACTATTATTTTACGACGAAACCATCATAGGTTTTAATATAATAAGAAAAAACGGGTAAGTGATCTGGTTGGCAAGCGAATGCACGTGTCTTTGGGAATAATTTTTTGTAGTTCGCCCACGATCGAGAAACATATCGTAGTCCGTTATACTGTGCGACAAATATCTAGCGCTAGTACATGTATTTATAATTCACAATATGACGAATCTGGTTCTTTGTCTCAAACTAAATCTTTGCGAGTATTATTAGATTTCCAGAATGCATAAAGAAAGAAATAAACTGCTGCAAGGAATTTAAATGCATCATCATCATCATCATCGCCAAAGTAATATTGGATTTTGTTCTCTGAAGAAACGCACTCGAGCCAGTGGGTCTGTCTCACAAAGGGAATCGCATTAGAAAGAAGGCAACAAGAGATTATCGTTATACAATAAATTCGTATAATTCGAATTCTTTAATACGTAATGCATACGCAACTAAACATACATGTACAAAGCTAATCATTTCTAAATAAAAAATGAAACACAGGAGGAGTGAACAAACAACGAAGAATCCATTTTTAGTCGAATTGAACCACGTTTTTTTTAATTTAATTTTCCTGTTCATTTAATTATCTATGAAAGATAGATTACTGTATACGACCGAACACCAAAAAATTCATAATCATCTTTTTCAACAACCAGTAATTTCAATTCAACAGCCTATAGCTCGCCGAATTGACATTTTGGTGGTTTTGTTGTTTCATTTGAATTGGAGCGACGCTTATCGTTAAGTAAAACCTTTCGAAATCGCGACCAAAATTCGTCCAAAAACAGGTAGTAATTGAAATTTGTATTTAAATGAAATTGTTGATTTATTGTTTGCCTTAGAATACTAAAGAAGTGATATATTAAAAAGAGAAAGAGAAAACCTCGAAAATAGATTAGAGTTTCAATAAACAGTGAAAATTATTCATGCATTTCTTTTAGTCATGACATATGTGATATATTAAATATACGTATGAACATGCTATGTCACGTTACATTTCAATCCAGGTACAAAATTTTCAAAATTCTAATATATACTAAAAAAAGTATCGCATTAATCAAATTGCAGACTGGTTCGTTGTTGATTATGAGATATTCGAAACACCAGTTTCTATACTTTATCAAAGTCTTTTTTGTTTGTTTCAACTATTACGTGCGGGTTTCCCGTAAACACACGCCAAGTTTACTGGTTCTTTTAAAAATTATGGCGTTAGATCTACAATCTCATAGTCATCTTGATCGAGGCTGGAAAGAAGTGATATTTTTCAGAGTTTCAGACTGTTGATAAATAAGATATAAAGAGGTAGTTAAAATCAACCAAATTTGCAGAACCATTAATTTAACAATTAAATAATTAATGGCACAAAATCAACACCGAAATCCACCACCACCACTACCAATACCACCAGTACATCTAAATATGGTACAAAGTTTTATAAATGGAGCCAATGACATTTTTAATAATCAAGCGGCTACGCAAAATCAAAATAATGCTTCAGGTATACTATTTGAAGCCTATCATATATAACTAAAACACTTTTCTTTCATTGTTGGTTATTTGTTTTCTGTTCCGTTCTCTATTCACATTCATATACGTTCTATTCTTGTTAAATCGGTTTTCTATTATGCATTGCACGCACAACTTTGAAGATCCTTGTATAATATATCGCTTCTTATTACCGACATTTTAATTATTTATTATATTTTATTCATTTGACTCATTAATTCATATATTTTTACTATTACATGAACAAAGTGTTCCGTTTATTTGAAATGAACATTTATTATAATTTTTCCCTTCATGTCGATATGAATTTGTTATTATTTGATCATTTTTCAAACATTTTTCAAACATTTTTCTTTAACGTTTATTTTAGATTCATTACTCTCTTTTAATCATAACTTAATTTTTCTGTTTAATTACTTAGAGTCTGATTTTACGACAGACACCTGGAAGTGTTTATCAGATATATATCATCTGAAAAAGCTGTAACATGTTTCTTTATACGACAGTTTACTATTATTATTACTTTGCTGTGTTGTTTTTAAAACTAATAGAATTTATAATAGACGAATCTTCTTTTTATTTGCAGTGACAATGAACTCTCTGAATCTGGATTTACAACAAATACCAGACAGACGTTAAATAACAAAATCAAATTATTCGTGCATAATGCTATTCATCGTTATGCATCAATGATTAACTTGAAGTTAGTCAGATAACCATTCAAAACATCAAATTACTTTCTAACAATCAAATAACTAAATCCGAAGAATTCAGTTATGCAATTCATGAAAGCATGAACTATTACATGTATATCAATATAAAATCCATTTTATTATAATTGTTTCAAATTTATTTTTGTTATTGTCTTATTCGGCGAGCCCGTATGTAGTTTTTTGGTGGAGTTTTCTGAAAGAGATCCAGTGCAAAATTGGGTTTTGCTTCGGTGTACGTACATGTGTAAATATGAAAAAATTTTATAGCAGTGAAGTGTAACGGTAACAGAAAGGTAATTCTTCGATTTACTCAAAAGTTTTCCTATTTCAGTTTTGATTTCTCTTCTAATGGCAATACATGTACTCGAATCAGAGATACACAACTTTTAGTTTTCCCAATTCGGAGCTAAACAACTTTAGAGTTTTTCCGATTCCTTTGATTTTTCAATTTCGAAGATGTATTCTAATACTCTGATTGACTTGAATTCAGAGATGAATACACAATTTTTGATTTTCTTTAATACTCGAATTCAGATATGTTAATTATAATATTGCTTTCTATCAGTGTCAAGTTCAATATTTTATGAATGAACAAGCAAAATATGTCATATAGTTATACCTATGAAGCATAAAACCAGTTTGTATTTTCTTTCCACAATACTAAGAATAACAAATATGAATCAACAACAAAATCAACATCAACCACCACTACCACCGGAACATTTAAACATAGCGCAAAGCATCATTAATGGAACTACAAATATTTTGAATAACCAGTCTTCTACATCGAATAATATTTCAACAGCGCTCACGGACGCCCTTTTTCCCAAAATTTCTCTTTTCACAATCCCTTTATATGTTATTTATATTTTTATTCGTATTCTGTTACTTATTCCTGTAATATCTTGTATCATCTATCCTTTAGAATCGTTTTGTTTAATTAATTTAATGATTCCCAGAATGACTCACTCGCATATCGATAACTTCTCAATTTTTGAACTAATGAACATTATTTTTTATTTCAAGAATATTTCGTCGTTAATAAAAACGATCGTATTCTGAATTGAAACAAATCATGTGATTTTGTATCATGTAATCTAATTTTAGTGGTTAACATTATTATAGTGCTAGCCCAAATTATAATTTCATGATTAACATCACATATCACATGACTTTTCCAACATGTATTTGTATTTATTTTTAGTGTATCGGTATGCGCCTCTTATTCTAAATGCAAATCGATTGACACTACCGCTACGTATACATACAAAAATGAGAACCTAAACTGATGAAAACGTAGCAATTCAATATAACTTCACAAATAAATAAACTAAACAAATATGATTTCACAATTAAGACGAAAGGTCATAAACAAATTAACAAATATGATTTCAAAATTAAAATAAATAAATAAAATTAAATTATACATTATAAAAAATATTGTGAATAGAAAAAAGAGTGTGTGCGCGTTTTAGGTCAATCTGAATATGTATTCGAATAATGTTCGATAAACAATATGCGCAATATTAATATTAAATATTACGAAAACAAACATTTATTTCAATAAATTAAATGCAGAAACATTATAAGTATCAAAGATTATACTAAAAATTTGAGCAGTGAACATTTGATTTATATTACCAATATGCATCATTGAGAATACTCGAAGTATCATTGTCGTTTTGATTTGATACATGAGTACTAAAGATATTAGTAGTGCCATATATCATCATGCCCATTAAATTTGAGTTTCCCGGTGGCTGTTGTTGCTGCTGTAAGTTATGCTGTTGGTTTAGAAATAGATTCTGTTGATAATTTATTAGTTGTCGCTGCTGTAGGTTATGCTGTTGGTTTTGAAAACTCAGTTGATCATTTATTTGTTGTTGGTTTTGTTGGTTCATTATTTTTTAAAACGATTATAGCTATTAGAATTATGCTAATACGTAGATGAGTAAGAAGAGAAATGGAATAAGATTTATATATATCAATATGCATTATGTATTGAATCAAAATCGAAATGTGTTTGTATCATAATAAAATGTAGAATGTGAATTCTATTCAAAAATGTTGTGATCTGCTTGCTTTATTACTTTATTACTTTGTTTAATTTTTAATTCACGTTCATGAATAACACACCGTTGTTGATTGTTGTCATTATACTTGTAGTAATATCTGAATATAGAGAGAGATAAAGAGAACGATGGTCTTTTCTCTCTCTCTCACATGCTTGTACTCTGTTAAACTCTCAAGTCCGGGATAGTAACTATTTCAAATGCTGTATGTATGCTATGTTAGTATTTTTTTTCTTTATTTTTTGGATTTTTAAATGTGCGTGTATTCGCTCTTCGCTATAGAATTTTATAAAGCTATATTGTAAATGACATTATTATCACTAAACTAAAGGTTACTCGTGGAAAATTTCAAATATAATATTGTTTCTCAAAGATTGTAGCAACATTCACAAAGCAAAATTTTGGAGGTCTTTCTTTGTAGTTGTTTCACAGAATACAAACAATTTGATAAGATAATTTACTTAAAATAACGAAATCAAAATAAATAAACCCATAGTCTAGAGGTAATTATCGATTTTAGGTAAAAAAAAAAAAACAATTATAAGAATAATCAAAACCTACTTTTATGATATCATTGTAAAATGTAACTTAGTTCAATTCATGCTCCAATTTCCCCAAAAAGAATAAATTCTTGTCCGTTTTAATATGAAATTTCTTTATTTCAAACGTCTTCTAGCCCATTCAACATTACTAACAATAACCGCAGCCGACGGGACATCAAGCATGGCAAGTATTATCAATGAAACTAAAGTCTCCTACATCGAATGCAAACGACAATAATATTTCAAGAGTACGCTATTGTTGACAGAAACTCAAACGTCTTTTACTCTAAATTTAAATCGCTTTATATAATTTTTGTTATTTAGTGGTAAAAAAAATAAGTAATTACGATGTGTTATACAGCTAATTCGTGGTATATATTATAAAACGCCTTATTTATAAATTAACAAATTAAGTTCGTGTACCTTACCATCCAAATAAACACGACACGACTACATTAAGTACACTACACACTAGTAGTGCAGACATCTTTCAGATCAGGGGTAGGGTAGTTAGGAGTATAGGTCATTCAGCGCGAAATTTATTTAATATCACACTACCTCCACTACCACTTACGTCACTACGTCAAATGTGACCCAAAGGTAGTACGACTTCTACGCCATAACCGTAAGTAGTGACTATCCTGACACACATGCATTCCATCATTCCCTTATTGCAATACTCAACCTTGATACTAGTAATGCATGAAATTTAACATTTTCTATTAGCTGACTATTCATGGTATTAGGTCTTGCAATTGGAACAATTTCTTCTACAGTTAGTTGTTTCACATCATGATTAAGTGCAAGATACAGGTTTGGAGAATTAGCATTATCTCAACAAACTTGTTTCAATTGTTCTAAGTACTCTCCGGTATCATATTCCATTGAATAATCTCCCTGTTCGCCAAGAATACGAAGAACTCTGCACAGCACCGATAATTTTATGAAGCAGTTTCAACTGCAGTTACTTGATATCTTATGTCATCGTCTGATAAAGAGGGGAGTGACAGAGGTGATCAGGAATGCGAGGCAATTTGATGACTTGCTCGTATGCACGTTTAATTACATCTGCATAATCGTAAATACAGTTCCAATTGTTTTCATTCATAAAGAATATTGTTTTATTCATTTACTAGCAAGGGCATCAAGTAGTTCACGCGTGTACTACCATAAAGAATGAGGTAATGTCATCTTTTAATGTTTGTTATATATATACCAAATTAATGCTTGATAGATAAACGTTAGGATACTTACGGCATAAGGACCATCGTCAAAAGTCTATACAAATGTATTCGAAGTTGAGCATAGACCGGAAGTTGTGTTTGAAAAAGTTTTCGATGTAGTGGTCGTACTATCGCTATTGCATTTACTGAATCCAGATTGACAGCCAGATGCACAATAATCTAACGTTAAGATTAATATTAATATTAATACACATTCATTATATTTTTATTAGCTTAATAAAATGCTCTACCAGAAGTGGTGCCACGCCAGCCTTATTGAAAGCAACAAGATCCAGATGATCGTCGTGTATTGAAGTCTTTTCCGCATCTGCTATTTGTTGACGTGGTTGGTCTCGAGTTGTCGTTGTAGTAGCTGTGGTAGTTCTTGAAGTGGTGGTAGTAGATATTGTGTCGCTGTTGCATGTACTAAATCCGGACCCATCTAAATTAACGTTAAGAATTATATTTACGTACTGTACAATGAAATAATGCATCATATCAGTGTAACGGTAAGAGATATCATATTCGCTCTATCGCTATTGTGAACAACATTTTCCACATCTACCATCGGTTGAAGTTGGAGTTGAAGTTGAGGATGAAATATTTCTGCTAGTAGAAGTGTTTGAAAGAACATTTTAATACCCTAACCATGGCGAAAAAATGTTCTGGTCATATGATATTTAGATAAAAGATTTACGCATTCTTATTGGTTGCCACGTGACCAGAAAATTTTTTTCTCAATGCCGAAATCTAAAAATGTGAAATAGCAAAAGAATCTTTATAACATGTAAAATTTTATATTTATTTAGCATTCCGTTAATGGTGTGTTATTAACTTACCCAGCACTGCACCACGCGTTGTCTACTCCACAAAAACTAAAAATAAAAATGTAGTTCGATGTTAGTTATACTGCATACGCACATTCTAGAATAAGTGTATTTACCCCCCCCATTTCGAGCAGCATTCACCCGCGGAAGCATTGCACTCTAAAGTTGTGCAAGAGATAAATAGATTTTCAGCATCAGAAATTATATAGATACAGGTAGAACATTAGACATGTAGATACATACTGCCGTTTGGGTTTTGAGTCCCGCAATCTTCAGCATTTACCGAGAAAATAAGGAATGCAGATATTGCCAATTGTAAAAGAGCTTTTTTATATCGAGACATGAGTTTTCTTTGAATTTTTATTTCTTTGCGATTGAATTGAAATGCTATTGAATATTAAAAAAGTAAAATTAATATATTCCACAAGAATTGGTTTATCATGAAACGAGAGAAATTTTCGTAGTAATCTAACAGAGTATGAAACAGATATTGTATATTACAAAATTTTGTAAGTGCCTATGATTGTTCCCATTCAGAACCTTCTTTTTTGCCCATGCATTTTCAAATTTTACAGTATTATAACTAACAGAATATGAAGGATTTCTGTTTCTCTTCAGAACCTTTTTTTTATCTATGCCTTTCAATTTTCGCCGTATTATTGTTACCTTTTCATTTGTGGAATCATACTAAAGCAAATATTTACATTTCCATTAAATAAATTTAATAATAAGATGCAATAATTCGAATTGCCATAAAAGTTTACTATTGAGGTTATTAAGATATAATGATACGAATTCCCAAAGTCAAGACATTCTTTTTTTTTGGGTTGCGTGGTCTCATACTCACACAACAATGAGATAGCGGCGTAAAGAAGATTCTGGCGGGAAACAATCATGGGCACTTACAAAATTTTGTAAGATTCAACATCTAATATGCAAAAAAAAACGACATTGGGATTTTGATTTTCGCCATGCAATTGTAACATACTTCAAAAGCGCCGTATAATCCATGTGGGTATTTTGCATGTATTTATTCACCTGGGCGTATTATTAACGTGATACGAACGATAAATGTAAACATGATTATTTAAGCATGTCAAACTTCAATAAGAGCCAATAAAACGACCATGTATTAGCGTTAGGTCACATTTTTAATCCATAAGGCTGCAACTACAAAATTTCTCTTTTTTTTCTCTAGGTCCTGACTGTATATGTACTTTATTTTTCTTTTTTTCACCCATTCAAATATAAAAAGCTGGCGCTTGAAGAAAATATCTCTTCAAAAGCCACTTCTTACTCGTTTTGCTATGATATCTTTAAATTGAAACTTTCTGTTAATATAGTTCGTTTTATAAGAAATTCATGAGACAACAACAAAACTAACAATAAAACTAACAAGCAATCAACAACTGAATTTACGGCAACACCAACAGCATAACTTACAGCAAAATCAACCATTACAACAGCACATTCTAATATTATAAATTGAAGCATAATATTTTCAATGACTCGATATCAAATCAAACTGACAATAACCTTTCGATTGTACTCTTAAAATCGTATCGTCAATAAGCTCGTATTTTCTAACCGGCATTATCACATTCTGTTCTGTGAATTTCATATCCGATACTCGTTTGTTATTTATTTCGTGTTTATTGGATGTTGTTTTCATTTCCTAGAATCATCTTATATTTATTATTTACATATTCTTAATTCATGATTCATTTATACGTAAACTGCTACCGTATAGAATACCCGGTCTCAATCAATTTTGACAGGCAACAACTCTTGTGTACATAAGCTATATCTCAACTTCAACCATAATTATCATTAAATATAATATTATAATGCTGATTTGTCTTAAAATGTTATGTTTTGCTGAATTTGTCTCATCTTTAGGGTATTCTGGGGAGGGTACTTTATTAGGGGGATACACTATGGTATTATATACAGTAATACATATGGTAGAAAACGTCGATCAAAAAATGTATGTACTTCAACCTTTTTGTGTTTATGCATGCATGGCATGCATGCATCCACATCATACATAACGATAACGATAACGATAACGATAACGATAACGATAACGATAATTAGTATTATCGTTATTGTTACGTATTTAAAAAAATCAGCAGCAGTACATATCGGTATATATTAACATGATCATCTAAATCGATATGTGTACGTACATATAAACATGCATAATAATTCTTTCGTTTTGCTATAACGATAATACACAGTAAAGTCCGCTTTAACGAAGGACCAGTTGAGCGAAATTGCATAAATTGAAAGTTTTCTTAAGCTGGTACATTATAAAAACGCCCAATTTAACGAAGTGTTATAAGTAATTCTGTATAACGCATAACGAAGTTTATTCTCCGGAACGTTAAACCGGACTTTACGTGTATTTTCAAATCGAAAATTAGTTCTATTAGTATAACTAGTATAATTAGTAATGCCGGGCGGACTGGACGAGCGGGTCGAATATTTCAAATAATTGATCGGCGTTTTTATATTATATTTTGTAAAACTCGAAGAAATCTAGAATCGGAATGCATTCATTAAAAAAAGTACTAAACATGTTTAGCTAGTTTTTTTATTTTGTACTATACAGTACAGTATTACTTTATACATGTATATTATATATTATATAACTTGATAAAGTCATTTTTTATTTCAATTATTATCGTTATTACGTAGCATCAGTATAATAAAAAATCCTGTAGGAAATTTGAAATATCGTTCCGATTGCTTCTAAATTATGGCAATATGTTCCACAAGGATATACCTGTATCAATACACGTACTGTGTACAGTCAACTTACGATATAACGACGTGCAGATTCTATTGAATTTATATTGTTTACAATGGGATCTGCACGTCGTTATATTGTAAGTTGACTGTACAGAATTCTATTTAGGTTTATATCAAGCGACAATAGAAATTTATGATGTAACTTACCATTGAACAACAATAAAGCATTTTAGATATAATTATAGACATTTTTTGATAATGGTTCTGAATGAACAGTTATTCATGCATGCACCTATCCTATAGTACGTAATACGTAAATTGGGCTTTAATAAAAAACAAACAATATCTGATATCAATATGCATGCACAGCATTCATACGTTTTTAATCTTTATTTGCTTAGAAGTGTTTTCCCTTTATTGCATATTACATATTGCTTGCTTATTAACGTCAAACTCACTAGAAAAAAATGTATGTTTTAAAAATAACCGTCGCATCTTAACTAGATTAAAAATTGTTCAATGCGTATAAGATATTTACGATATTAAGAAAATTAAAAAGTACGAATAAATAAATCAATTATAAAGTGAGATAAATGAAGTTAATGTAAAAAAAATACACACGCACATAAAGTACTACAATGAATTCGGAAAAATAATTTAACTGAAAATATCAAAGATTCGAGCGATAATACATGTTCGATATATTACGGAATAAATATATTTAGAAGAAAAGAGGAATATATACGTAAAATGAAAGTATCAAAGAAAAAAAGTTCTATAAACGATAGGCGTCCATGAGTATCCTTGAAATATTATTGTCGTTTAAATTTAATGTAGGAGACTGGTTAGGGAAAATGTTCGTAACTCCATTCATAAAGCTTTGCGTTATGTTTGCCATATTTAAATATCCTGCCGGCGGTTGATTTTGTTGCTGTTGATTTTGTTGCTGTTGATTTTGTTGTCGGTTCATACTTTTAATTTTAGAAGCGTTGAAAGAGTTGAAAAAGTCTGAATAAAGAACTTTTATATTAAAAACTGACGGAGCTTGGTTTATATATATCTCCGCGATATTTTGATATTTCGTTTCGCATACTACAATAAGTTGTATTGTACCTCTTTTGACACAAAAATCAGTCATCATGAATGCAAAGATACTCGCTAGTTACTTGGTTGTGGTTAGTTGGTTTTTTTTTGCGTGACTCAAGACCAAATAAACGTGTATATATTATTATACTGAAGTTGTATAGAAAGTATAATACAATATAATAGAAAGAACATAAGTAAAACCATCCACTTGACTACAAGCTAGACATATAAATTAATAATATATCTTTAATTTTTTTTAGAATAGATTGGATGAATAACTCATAAACGGAGTGGGGCACACAATCTTTATGCTTTCGAAATAGTCCACCTGACGAATTTGTGAAATTTTTAATTCCTGCATGCATCGGGGTTTTCAATAAACAATGATCGAATTTATATATATCGATATCGATATACATGTAGTCTTATCGTTATATCAAAAACAATTAGAACCAATTTTTGTGTAACTGACGTGATTCATAGTTTCAAGTACTTTATTTATTTTGCGAATATTTGGTTGAGCAATTTTTATACAATGTCGTCTTATTTTATCTCGTTGATCAATTTTTTGTTTCAGAATATGAAAAAGGTTATCATTATATTCTCTTCTCTTTATAGCTATGTTTTCAAAAAAACTAATTTTATACAAATTTTTAAAAATGCTATAATTAAATAATTATAACACTTAAAACTAAAAAATCAAAACATAGACTTATGTTTTTTTTGGATTATTATAAAGACTGGAAATTCTTGCATATATAAAATACGTAATTACAATCAACTTTCGATACGTATACATGTACATGCAGATCCTATTTAATTTATATTGTTTACAATAGGATCTGCACGTCGGTATCTCGAAAGTTGACTGTAATGACTGCAGGAGATGCATTTTCTTTTTTCTTTAGTGCATGTCATAAGAAAGTTGTTATTGTTATTAGTGATTTATATTAAAACTTACAAGGCTTTCTATACAATATCGATTTGAGACATAATGTAAGTTTACGTAAGGTTTTAGAGTTGCATACGTTTTTGTAAAATAATAGTAAAGTTTGCAAACAGGAAATAAACTTCATCATAAGAACTAAAACTTATATTCAGTGATTACAGCGGCATTAATTAAATGGATTGGCTTTGGTTCTTCCAAATCAAATGCAGATGTTGTTTCTCTTATTCATTCCAAACACATAAGATCCACGGAAATTGCAAGTAATAATACATGTATGTTAAAAACATGCTCAAATATGTTATGTATACGCGTCTCCTGTGCTTGTACGTACCATTTCGTACCATTCCTTGCAATTTTTGTGGATTTTACGTAATTGCCTTTTTCTTATAGGGCTTAAAAAGAGAAAAAATTTTTGTTGCACACAAATAATCTGTTAAGTGAAGAAAAGATGCAGGTAAAAATATATTACAATACTCGACATATAGAGAGAATTTTTTAATATTAAAATATACTTGTTTATTTATATTTTTATGGGTAACTCAATATAAAATATT